CTATATGTCCACTATGGGCTCTGGTCCATTTGGCTTCTTAATAGCAGCAAATGGTGTAATTGTAACAGCAAATCCATCAGCAATTATTCTGATGGCCCTTCTAATTTATGTATTCTAAACATTTCTAACATTGCCCTTCTGGGAAAACCCAATCAGTGGGGCTTGTTGTTACACTGCATTTATATTTCATTTTCTTCCTCTTGCAGAAAGCCCATGGTTTTTTTTAGTAATTTCAGATAACACAAATTAGAAACAAAAATACAGTAAAACATTAAAAGCAAGGTTAAAAGCCCAATTAAAATGTGCTGGACCTCCTTCCTGTATGCAGAAAGAGTGGGGCTTAGTCATAGTTCTACAGTCACCAAACAAGCTAGGAAGCAATTCCTGGAATTCTGTCAGCTCATGATACGAGCAATGTAATCCATCTCCTGGTTCTTAATCTTATTATCCCGAGTGATCCAGAAAGTGGCAGCCAGACTAATGCTTCAAGTGAGACATTCAGCCTATGTTCATGTAGGGTTATTTCATTAGTTACCAGTTTGTTCCTGAATCCAAATCAAAACGCTAGTCTTAACTTCCCTAAATGGACTGACACAGACTATACCAAGGAGCACCAAGGAGTGCCAGCTACTTCTGTATGAATCTGCCTGATTCACATCTGAACCTCTGTTGACTGCCCGCCATGAGGCCTGAAGCACATGTTGCTGCTGCTGTTACCTGCTATTAAGGCATCTAGGCATGCCCTCCAAAATGCCTTGCCCTTGATGCCCTGTTCAGCTCCTGTAAACTCTGGAGTGTGATTTCTTTTGTGCAATTGAGCCATCACATAGTTGGTCTTTCTCTTCTTATCCTGCCTTTCACTTTCCCTGGCTTTATGGTCTTCTCCAGGGACTCTTGCCCTCCTATTATGCACCTGAAAGAAGACAGCTTCAGTTTTGACATTTTTGCTTTTCCGGGGAATGCTCTGGCTTGATTTCATCTACTATCCTCTTGTACATTCTTCTGTCAGTCCAGGGTATTAGCAAGGCTCTCCTCCAGCACCATTTTTCAAATGCATTGTATTCCTGTCATGTCTTAACACCTGTAAAGCTAAAGCTCCTATGAATACATAGCACCACATGTTTGAGTTTTTATTTCACTACTTCCCTTCCATTCATTTTTTAAATTGAAGGCATCAGCTGATATGGATGGATTGTGCTCCTCTAAGTGTTTTTACATGTTGAGATAAGGCAGGTTGAGTTGTACTATACGATCACTTCGTATCCAAAGTGCTAGTACCCAAAGGGAAGTGCTCTGATGCACCTCCTTCTCATCCTTTATCTCCTCTTCCACAAAAACCCTTTCAGAAGATCACGCAAGTTAGATAGCTTGGATGGCATGATTTGAATCTTCTGTTTAGAAAGGGACTTAGGGTTCAGTTTTGTTTCTTTCTTATATCTCAAAAACAGGCCCACCACTGACCGTGCTTTGATTTGTGAAGTACAGTTTAGGGGGAAAAAAAGAACCAGACCTCAGGTTGTAAACAAGGGAGCAAATATTTTGTGCAGCTTCTTAAAACAACAGGTAAGAGGAGCCAGTCAGAGGTCAGAGAACAATGGACCATGTGTTGCTTGCTTTACATTTGCATGATCCGTTCTTTTTTATTCTGAGATAAGATTTTAAATACCTTGGCTCAATCATCAAGTTAAACAGAGACCACAGCCAGAAAATTCAAAGATGACTGAGACTAGGAAGGGCAGATGAAGGAACAAGAAAAGATAATCAAGTATAAGCAGATTTTACTGGAGACCAAGGCCAAGATCATCCACACTATTGTATTCCCAATCACTATGTATGGGCATGAAAGCTGGACAGTGAAAAAAGCTGACAAAAAGAAAACTGATGTATTCAAAGCAGGGTGCCAGAGGAGAGCTTTGTAAATACCCTGGGCTGACAGAAAGATAAGCAAGTGAATCCTAGATCAAATCAAACCAGAACTTGCCTGGAAGCAAGAAAGAAATGGAGGCTGTCGATATTTGGGGCACCTCATGAGAAGACAAACATATCAGAGAAGACAATCATGCTAGGAAAATCTGAAAACTGAAGAGGCATTGGCTTTACAATGCTTTCCTCTGGGTCAGTTTGGTCCACATGGAGGAATCCTGCAAGGCATTTCCACACTTCCAGAGTTTAGGCTCATAATAATGAACTAAATGATTATTCCTAAGGCACTAGGTGAAAGAATTAGTGATTCACACCCATTTAAGCATTCAGAGGAAGTCAAAGGTTTCCAGTGAGCATCTTTATATGAGTGCCAATGTGGTAGGCAAAAAGCAGGCTTGGCTGTTCTTCAAACTCTTGAAATCCACTTTGCATTTCAAGTTCACAAAACCAAACAGAATCGCAACATGTCAGTTCCACAGGAGAAAAAGAACACGAGGATGCACAAATAAAGAGTCTTCAAGAGCGCATGCATGGCTTGAAAGCTAATGCCATATTTGCCTCTGCAGTTTTGTTTTGTTTTTAGAAAATTGTACCGGATCCTTTCAAAAGCCAAAAGGATGGCACAATGCATCTCCAGCCAGCAGGCTGGGGCTTTAATGCCCTTCAAATGCTACATCATCAAAACCACACTTTGAAGCTGAATGCCCAACACACAAGGCAGAAACTGTTTACTGCACAGACCGCCTCCTCCGCCTCCTCTATTCAGCAAGCAACTGGGAAGCCAGTGCTTGCCAGCAGCTTCCCTTCCTGTCAGATTCCGTATGCACTTGAAATGAAAGGCCAGTGCATAAGTTACTGTCAGACCTTTCAGCGATGCAAAAGCTCTTTCCAAGATGATGTTCAACTACCCTTATTCCTCAGACCCGCATTCAAGAGAGCTGCCCACATCCCATCTTGTAGTGAAGCTGTTTAAATATTTAACTAGAGAGCTTCAAAATGAAACTGCTTGCTTTGACAGGCAAACACGGTCCCCAAACAGGCTGCATGTCTGATTGGAGTTAGATGCCCATCTCAGAACTGCAACAGAGGAATTCTCTCTCTCTGTTTCCTTGCACTTGCAAAATGAAAGTTCTTTTGCAGTTTCCCTTCAGGGAGATGTCTGATGATATAAAAAGGATGGCCAAACACCAAGCCCAAAGGCAATTGGGTTTTCTATGCAAAAGGATGATGCTTATGATGCTTCATCATAAAAGGAGCACATTTATTATGTATAATTTGCAAAATTGCTTTAGTACTCCCATGCTACAGCTTAGAAAGATTGTTTTTCTTGGAATTCTCCTCTAAGCTAAAGTTTAACAGACAGACATACTAGAAGACTCAAACATGGCAGGTAGTAAAAACTCCTGAACTGTCATCATTATAATGCATTTCCTTTGCCACCATAAAAAGCAATGCATTGTATTAACTGTTTCAAAGTTGTAATGCACTGTGTTGAAATTTCATGATGTAAATGACAGACAAACCAGAAAGTATGGAACTGGTATTTTCATATAAATAAATATAAATAGGGGTAACTGTAATTTGCTCATTGAATGTGCAATTTGCTCATTGTATGTCTTCTTAAATCATGTTGGACTGAAACAAAAACCATTTGTTTTTATATTGCTATGATTGTATCTGCTTCCTCTCTGATTTTATGTGTTTTTTTTAAATTCAGAAATGGATTAAAGAAGGAAGAAGAGTTTCTTCTGCCAAAGGAAGAAGAGTTTTTACCATCCGAATGTTGGCCCTAATAAAGATTTCGCCCAACTTTAGATGTTGGCTTTTCTTCCCTCATGGATCAGCACAGCTATCTTCCACTTTATTTTATCTGTGTTAGTTTGTAAACAACCACAAGTCTCAGAAATAAACAGTCCTCCTCTCAGGAATGTACGCTATACTACTATAATCTACTATAACCCACTATCTGATTAATTTGCTTCAGTTTATTGATATATGGTTGGTTCACGAACTCTTCCTAGGTAATGCCTTCCAGTTATATATTACAGATCAAACACACTCTTCTTAAAAATATGAAATGATGTTCAATGAACCTATATCATATAAAAACAATTTCTCAAGTTATGCACCATGACTCTGAATCCAGGTTACCAACAGAGAAAAAAGATTTGTGGACACCCACATAATTATCACACTGGCTCCTGACAAACCATCATGGGGGGGAAAAGCTCATCCCAAAAGGTCTGAGCTAACGTTCAACAACAGGATAGCAGGAACTCTCTTTAAAGTCCTGAAGTCCTTAAAGTGACTATTCAACCTGCTGTTATTTGCTTTCTTTTGTAGCTAAGTGGAGTGTCACTTTTCAGGCGCTTCATTCCGCCAGTAGAACAGTCTGAAGCTCCAATGTCCATACAATCGCACCAACAAAAGATGGGCCAATATTGACTTTGTACCTTCCACTCTTTGAGAACATATCAACCGCAAGCCTCCAAACCTATCCTAATTCATCAGCCATTAACACTGATAAATGCCAATTAAAAGCACAGAATACATATAGGAGAGTCAATTATGCGTAGTTCCCTAGCAAACAGTTTATAATAAACAATGAAACATGATTTCCTGTTGCAAGGAACAGAGTTCACCCACAGCTTCTTCCTTACTTTTTTTCTAGACACAATTATTTTTTTCCATGAAGAAGCAGCCAAACAAGTTCACCTTCACCCTGAAGTAGTGCGGTGCAGTGGTTATCACAGGGTTCTGCCCAATGCTTATATTGATACCAAACAGATTTTACAACATTTTCCCAAATGCACGGTGCTGCTCTTTATGCATTTGGTTGTATAACTCGACATGGTTACGCCACCTAATATTCTCGCTTTGGTCAAGACACTGCAGGCCTTCTATACTGAGTGCTCTTAGTCAAAGAAAGAAATAGGATTTCCATTGGGTTCTCCAGTCTCATTCAAAATCCCTCAGATCACAGAGTGCTCTCTTGACTCTTCACCTGTTCCTAAGACCAAGAGTCCCTTGATCAAGGAGCACAGCGTATGTAACTTGAGTCCTTTTTCTACAGTTACCTGCCCAAGATCCAAGGTGACGTTGACCTCGTTGAATTCCAGCCGGCGAGAAAGAGGTGGGCTCTGCCACCAGCGTTCAGTGCCATCGATAGCATTGGTGATGGGATGAGCTTTGTTACTGTTTGCTGATGAACAGATGTCACAGTACTGCCCCTGAGGTAAAAAGCACAAACAGAAAAGCCTTGTGTTACAGACCAGAGAGAAGATCAGCCCTTGCATTCATGAGTACTGGGTACACACACCCAGGATCACAAACACGGATTCCAGTCAGCTCTTCAAGCACAGGATCCAGTCCAGGGATACAGAGGGGACTCTCTTAGCCACAACCGCACAGCCTGTGGCCCTTGGCCCAATTTCATACAAGTAGTAGCAGCCCAGAGAAAAAAGAGAAATGAGCAGTGGGGACAGCATGAAGGGGAAGCGGAAATGGGCAGTGATTCCTGGTTCCCTCAACTGAAAAAAAGAGTCCCAATTCCAATGCTGAACCACAACCAGTGTAAATGCAGGCAGGCAGACGGCATGCTTTCTCCCCCAAACCCCGTCCCCCCTCTGGAAGAAAAATAACCCATGCCTCTCCTGCTGGTTCTAATTGCAGTTAAGCGATGTATCACAGTGTTCTCAGCCTGGACATGCACTATTAAAAGGCCAAATGAGCCAAACAAGGAGTTTAATTTTTCCAGTTTGCCTCTTCGTTCTTCATTCATATACAACCCCTACTATTTATTCATGGAATAGGAAAAAGCTAAAACTACACTAAAGTGTATATATCCACATGCATTGTGGAATATGCCAAATATATCTGAATGTAGCCTAGGCTTGTAAATTTTATGGGACTTAGTAATGCATACTTCTGCATTTCCATAGGCAGACCCTGGGTGAGGAAGGGGATTGTGTGAAGGAGCTATCCCTGAAGTCTTAGGTGTGAGAAGAGGGAGAGGAAGAGAGATGCTATCCTACGACAGAGCGTGCGAGAAGAGCCAGAGAAGGTTGGGACCCTGCAGATTCTTCCCAAGAGATGATAGTGGTCCAGTCTGAGGATGCCAGAAAATTTTATTTATTCACCACCGATTGCACAATACTAGATCTCTCTCATTCTTCCCACAGGCCTTTCCTCATAAGAGCTTGACAAACACCCACATAAGGCCCTTAGGCTTCCAAAACTTGTTCTGGCTTCAGGGATGGTTTCTTCATAGAGAACCTTCCACATCCGGCTCTGTCCCTGGAGAACCAGAGGACACACCTTCCAGCTTTCTGTTAAAATACCAGTGCTGTTCAGAAAAGAAGCACAAAACAAAAAAAAAACATCCAAGTCAAACCAAACCAGTCACATATAAAATGAGACAGCCCATGCTGACTTTTAGATTTAGGATAGGCTACAACAAACATTTTGTTATCAATGCCAAGCCAAAGACTTTTTTCCTAAAAAGAAAAGGGACATCTATGTTGAAACTAGCAAGGATGTTGTTTGCTTGAAAATGTTTCAGAAAGTAAAGCACTAATTCGGTGGTAATCTCTCAGTAGGATACAGCTCGTGAACAGGTTTGTTGGCCTTTTGCTCTGACAGTAGAGCAAAAGCGCCTCCATTTTGGCCTGTGGGTGGTTGCTATGGTAACAGCAGCATCACAGCAAGCCAAACCAGCAACTTCTTTAAGGCCCCTTTTGTGAATTAACTGAACCCAACTACTTAAAAAAAAATCTCTGCAGACTTGTCAAGTTCTTGGCTATCTTGATTCCAACAATCCCATTGTTACATTATCTCATAAAGACCAGTGATATGGTGATAGGCAGCTTTCAAATTCACAGGCTTAGCCTTTTAGAACATCTGTCTGAGCCAATGAGTTTAAGTGTATTATCCAATGCTACTTTCACATTAAACTAGAAGAGCTAATCAGCAGGGCTACTTATGTGCAGATTTCAGTACAGAATGTGAACTAAGGAGGTAGCAATTACTCCACATTGTTGGATGAGGCTTATGCCCCAAGACTCTTTTGTTGTTCTTCCTGCAACAGGCTCCCCCTCCGGAAATTGTTCAGAAAAGAAAACTGCCCAAAAACACGGCCACTGACATCAGCATCTGCACACATTTAAGTGGACCAGACTAGATTCCTAGCAGAAAAGAAATAAGAAATCTCCCAAATTCTTATTCCCAGCCTTGCAAAACAAAGACAGTGTACATAATTATGAAATATGTAATTACGCAATACTTGATGTCCTGAACAAGCCCACCTTTTAATTAACTTGACTAAAGAAAGAAGTTTATCAGAGAAGTACAAAGCAGGGCTGGAATTGGTTAGAATGGCTATATTCTGTCTGTTCAATAAGGTGCTGCACAAGAGGGTTTTTGCGGGGAAGGGGTTTAAGCAACTGCTTTCCAGGATAACATGAAACCCAGAAACAAGCCTCCTCCGACAATATTTATGTCAGTGATTCAAAATCAGCTGTCGCAATCAATAAATGCATTGTGCCTACCTGCTCCCAAGAGGGGAAATAAGCACAATGCCTTTTCATACCTTTTCATGACCCAAAAAAGAAATTATGGGTCAGCTGCAAAGAGCTGGCCCACATGTTTTCTCCAGTTCTTTACCACACTCTTTCCTGGAATAGGCCTAAAACTATAAGAGGGCTAGCAGACTGCAAGAAGTAGGACAAAAAACAGCGAAGAGGCTTGCCAGTCACAACGGCTGCCTGGCCGTCCAGTCCATCTGCAAATACCTGCTGTGAAGAAACAGCAGGAAGCAGCTAATGCCACTGTGCCCCCGCCCCCAGTTGCGGCCTTAAAGGCATGGCGTGGCCTTTCTGCAAAGCAGAGCCTGACTTTGATCCAGGAGGCTTCTGGCAATGTTTGTCAGAGAAAAGAAATCCAGTAGTAACTACTCTCCCAAGTAGAAAAGGCCAAAACTACCCATCTTGACTAGATGCAAGAGGTACTACCATGAAAAACTAGAGCAGGATGGGGTATTCCCTATTTGAAAGGTGGGGCTGAAAAGAACCCCCCCCCCCCATGTATGAAGTGCCCTACAATCTTGGTGTTTTTCTAGGCTCTAGACCTAGAACATAGGACAACATATGCCATACCTGAAGTCTTTATTCATGCCATGAAAAACCCCAATCCTAACAGGTGAGGATTACCTCTAGGAGACTGCATGGTGCTGCTGATCATTTTCATAAAATCAAATGCCTACACACCCTCACATAGTTATCAGAGGAAAATAATTCACTGATTTTTACATCACGGATTTTCCCCCTCTCTCACACAGTTCTTTTACCTTAGCCTAAACAAGATGCTGTGAAAGTTGGATCACAAGGAAGGTTGAGCGCCAAAGAATTGAGGCCTTTGAATTGTGGTGCCAGAGGAGACTCCTGCGAGTCCCTTGGACCGCAAGGAGATCAAACCAGTCAGTCCTAGAGGAGATCAACCCTGACAGCTCTTTAGAAAGCCAGATAGTGAAGATGAAACTCAAGTACTTTGGCCACCTAATGAGAAGGAAGGACTCCCTGGAGAAGACCCTGATGCTGGGGACGATTGACGGCAAAAGGAGAAGGGGACGGCAGAGAATGAGGTGGCTGGATGGAGTCGCTGAAGCAGTTGGTGTGAGCTTGAGTGGACTCCGGGGGATGGTGGAGGACAGGAAGGCCTGGAGGAGTGTTGTCCATGGGGTTTTCATGACTAACAACAACAACAATAAAAACAAGATGCAAAGAGATATTTGTATTGTATCCATCTATTTAAATACAACAGCATGTGAAAAGCAACTGTGTCCATTTTCCTTCCTTGGGAAGGCGAGCAGCCTTGCAAAAGAGCTAAAGTTAATTTTTGCTCTTATTTATTATTGTTGAAAAAATGCCATATTTTTAACCCAACAAAGCACTGGCGGCATTTTGGGGCATGATGGTTGGTGGCAACAAAAGCTGAACAATCTTGCAGAGAGATATAGATGGATGGATGGATGATCTTGCTTATAAAAGCTCCAAGAAGACAAATCCATCACTCTGGTAGGTCTGCAAAAGGTGCAACACAGGCTTCCCAACAAAGGAGTTGAGGAACCTTAGATGTGCTCTCAGCAGACTTGAAAAAAATACTGAAATGGTAAGGGAAGACAGGGAAGCTCCAAAAAGGAGTAAGGAATTTAATACCACTGCTATCAGAACAAGCTGAGATAACTGGAGCAGATGTGAATGCAAGAACCTTCCTTTCAAAGAATTACAAATTTAATCCTTTCCTCCATTTAAATCAAAGGGATTGTTGCAGTCTTTACCTATAACCCTGCAAAAACAAACTAACTAACTAACCAACAAACAAAAGACTGGAGGACATTGGGAGCAGAATCTAGCATTTCCTGCCTTAACATATTCCTCTGTCCACAAGTCCTGGACACTCAGGTCTGTTTTATACACCAGATCAGGGACTAGGACAAAAGCAATCCACAAGAGTGAGTCAAGTCCTAGTGAGAGGACTGCACCAAGCTGCATCAAGGCCACTAAGGATAGTGGAAATGACACATCAGAGGGGAGGAAAAGATGGACTTCCATGCCAGTAAGCAAGGCTGTCAGGAAACTCCCATTAAAAACAACAATGGCAATCCCCTAGACTGAACAGTACATTGCACTGCTCCTATCGCACTCAGAATTCACAAAGTGCTTTGATGCTTGTCCACTTTTCTGCCTGTCTCCTCCACCTCTCCTACTGCTTCGGTGGGTGACCAGCTTCCTACTGCAATGGCCAGCTGGCATCCCAAGCACCCTTTCGCTGGGTTGCTACTGCACTGATTGCTGCTAGTTCAAAAATTTCTAGCAGGATTAGTGTGCAAGTGAACCAAAGAGAAAAGACACAGTAGGCCAATATAGCAGTTTAAAAAACAGGAGGACCACTTGTTTAAATTAAGTGATGGGAAAACACTGCCAACGTGCAAAGCTTTTAGGCTCCTAGTATTCACCTAGTTGAGCCTGTAAGTGGCTCAAAATAGATTAACATATGCTAATTCCTTATGGCCGTTATTATTATTATTTCATGGCATTTATACCCTGCCTTTTTCCTCTTGTACCCTGTCCCTTTAATTTAGAAAAAATAGGAGTGAAAAGTACTGAATGTTGACAAAACTGTAACAGAAACATTTGAAAGGGTTTCCACTCAGATATTACAACTGATTAGCATA